TGTGTGTGTCTGTGTGTGTCTGTGTGTGTCTGTGTGTGTCTGTGTGTGTCTGTCTGTGTCTGTCTGTGTCTGTCTGTGTCTGTCTGTGTCTGTCTGTGTCTGTCTGTGTCTGTCTGTGTCTGTCTGTGTCTGTCTCTGTCTGTCTGTGTCGGTCCGTGTCTGTCTGTGTCTGTCTGTGTTGGTCTGTGTCTGTCTGTGTCTGTCTGTGTCTGTCTGTGTCTGTCTGTGTCTGTCTGTCTATCTGTCTGTGGGGTACGTAAATGAACAAGTATTTCGGTATACATACATACATATATATATATATACACATAAGCATTTACTTATACATATACATATGCATTTACATATGCATTTACATATACATACATACATACATACATACATACATACATATATATGTTTACACACGTGTGTATCTAATGTACATACACACTGCATATCTATATAGGCACATTTTTTTACGTATGTATGTATGTATGTATGTACGTATGTATGTATATCCCCTTGTCACACATGTGTGTAAAAGCACCATAACTGGTTTGAAGACCTGCCGCTGCTTGTAGGTCATTTCCAGCAACAAGAACCTTTCAATCTGCACTTATATGCACTTATATACATACACATGTACATTCATACATATGTATATATCTACATGTGAAAAATATCTGTCTGAAGACAAACGAATAAACACACACACATACATAGATGTAGAAGTACACAAACAAATGAAAAATAGGTGCATGCATGCATGCATGCATGTATACACACACGGCTGTGCCCCGGGCAAATCCAGGGAGGGCGGAAACAAAAAAATACGTCTACATCTATCTATCTACTTATCTAGCTAGCTAGTTAGCTAGTTATCTAGCTAGCTAGCTATCTATTTATCTATCTATCTAGCTAGCTAGCTATCTATTTATCTATCTATCTATCTATCTATCTATAATATGTAGGCATACACCAGCCTCGGCACAGCGAGAGGGAAAACTGTGTGTCTACATTACCTGTCTGTCTGTCCATGTGTCTGCCTGTCTATTTGCATACATGTAGGTCGAGAGAGGTAGTTCTCTCTGTTTGTTGTGTACATGTTTTTTTAAACGTATGTGCTGCCACGAGTTGCCATTAGATGTTTAGTGAATCGATGATTTCCAGCGAGGGGTGTCTGGGGCTTTTTCCCTAGACTACATGCGCGGTCCTTTTTTTTAAGATTCTTTTTGCTCAGAATGTCGCGAAATAACTTGCTTTAGCTTTGGGAACCTTCTTTTCCAGTACTCTGTATGACAGCAGTGGCAGCAACACACTTGCCTATCATGTCTGCTTGCAGCACCCAGGAACTATTGAGAGCAAGCTACATGTGTGAAGTGTTCTGGTCGCATACAGGTGGCTTTAGCAATGTGAGTTGATTGGATGAGCGTGTGATGTCCCGCCATGTGGCTTGGATGATTTGATCCAAGGAACGAGAAACACTGGCACCTTGCCTGAAGTAAATTCTGCATGGTTGGCTGCGAAATGCAGGGAAGCCTCGTGGTTTTCAAGGGTGCATGAGACAACTCAACTCCACACCGTTGAGTCGCCAAAATGAGGATACATCATCCTTAGCTTGCAACTCGGCCGCAGGATTAGAAAATTAACGATTCATACATGAATACCGAAAATGCAGGTGAAGCTCGTCTTCTCGCTTCGGCGCATCGGGGCGCAGGCTTGCTAGCCGCGCTCGCCGACCCTCTTTGCCTCTTGCCGCATCTCGTGTCAGGTGCTGTTGCAGCATCTCGATGACCCGGGAAGCATGGCCGGATGCTGTTGGATGAGATGGTTTCTGTGTATACGGGAAGAGGGAGCTAATGGGCAAGACCGCCAAAGTGCTGCTCTTGTGCTGGTCTTTTTAGCTCAGGAGTGGACATCGCGTTGGCCGAGGTTGGCGTGGTGTGTAGCCCCTTCGCTGGCACAGAAGACAGTTTCTTCACGGTAGCATGACTTGCGCTGAGAGCCGATGTACTTTAACAATCCATCGTTTCTTCAGGTGCTCCCCTGATGGGACATCAGGAGCTCGCTCGCCCTGCACAGTGGGGACTCCCACCGGTCGGCCGGGGATTTCGCATCTCGCGCTATAGTCGTCAAGACTGAGTGCCTGCGGAATATCCATGGCCGCCCCACAGATAGAAGGTGCTCTCACTCTTTCATCAAGATCACCCCGCAAAACGGATGCATGGAGTCGTTTCATTGCAGGAGTCACCTTACCGCAGAATTTGTGCAGAGAGGCTCGTGGGTCTGAAAAGTCGCCCACTCCCAGCCTTCCTTCGTTTCTGTTCTGCTGTTTCTGCCGTTACGCGGGTGCTCACGTATGCAAGCCGGTGCCATCTCTAGCCACAGGGTGCTAGGAATGCTCATAAGCTCTCTCCCGCGACCGAGCTGAATATGTGATGCCCGCGATCGAAGCATCTGTCCAGCTCTTTGAAAGCTGGAGGTCCACTTGGCGTCGAGCATGTCATCCTGTCGTCTGATGCAAGATTAACAGCAGACGCCAACTGGGGTGTAGGATGTTGCTTCATTTCTTTCGTCTCGTAATGATTATGTTCTGCAGACCTGTCACCTGTCTTGGACTTGAAGCTGGCAGACCTGGGAAACCGGAGGTGTCATGAGATGGTTCGGAGTGTTTTCGCTGTTAACTCGGGAAGTCGTCCAGCTAGAAGTCCGGGAGTGAATGATGAACTTGTGCAACGACCGAAGAGCACAGAGAGAAGCCAGAAGTTCTGATGCTCTTCAGCTGGACTTTTGGCATCGGCCGGGTCGTGACTACTATCTCCTTGGTCAGGCCAACATCCACAACTATACCCTGCTACCGCCGTCTCATCCGCCTCCGACTCGTCTTCGTGTTGCAGTGAGCATGGCAACCACTGTGCAACGCCTCCTGGAATGAGGCAGTTACACCGACTTCGGGGGAAAATGGATTGGGCCGTGTGCTCAGTCTTGGAAAGTAAGCTGCCGTCCTTGTGGTTTCACCACATCCGACCTCCCCACACATGCCTCGCCTCGAATTGTCCGAGTTGCAAGCCCGACACCAGGAAACCCTGTATACTGTATACTTATATTGTCAATGTACAAGGCGGAGTATACTGCATGATATGCAAGCTACCATACATCATGTCCACAAGGGCGCAGAGACACACACACACACAGACATACGTACATACGTACATACGTACATACGTGCATACGTACATACGTACACACATACATACATACATACATACATACATACATACTTACTCATGCGCACACGCGCACACCAAGGCCGATAGATAGATAGATATGACAGATGGATAGATGGATAGATAGACGGATAAGATAGATAGATGTAGATGTATATGTGTATTTAGATATGGACACAGACATAGACATAGATATAGATATGTATATGTATGTGTATGTGTAATAATGATGCGTATGTGTATCTGCATGTGTATATGCATGTCTATGTGTATGTGCATACGTATATGTATATGTACATGTAAATCAATATGTATATGTACATGTATGTATGTACATAGAAATATGTATGTGCGTGTGTCTGTGTGTGTGTGTTTAATTAAATAGTTAATTAAATAAACAAATAAATAAACATATTTTTATATACTTTCACATTCATTCACGCTTTAGTTTTAATGGCAACACTGGCTGAGGTTTTAGTGGATGCTCCTTGTTCGCAAACTGGCGCTCTGCGACGAAACCCGGACATGAAGTGGACTGCCCCTTACTGTGCAGCAAGGGTTTCTGGCAGTCATGGGTGTGCTACTGTCTATTGTACCAGGGCAATACCAACCGTGTTTCGTTGGAGCTGTTGCTCAAACTAGAGCCGAGCAATGCTTGAGCGCAATGGGCGGCCTCGCCGTCGAGACAGAGGCAGTTCTCGAGGAAGCTTGGCTGCGTGCTTCCGAAGAGAAGTTTCGGCCCACGGCTCCCTGCCCTGCGGAAACGAGGATGTCGACACGTGGCTCGAGAAGGCTGCGGCACTTGTCGCTGCTTTGCTTATCTTTGCTGTGCGTCCTGCACCAATTGCCAATCGGAAGTCTGTAGACCCTCCACGATCCCTAAGGCCGTGAACCCGCGCAGCGCGGCGCAGATGGCATTGCGTGCGCAGACGCTGGCTGAGCTCGTGGCCATGCTGACTTTAAAGAACCAAACCAGACAGGCATGAGCAGTAGAGAGCAGTGGCGATGGCTCCCTTGAAGCTCGCGCCTCTGAGGCTGGAGAGCGACGAGCTCAAGCGCGGGCTCTGCTCGTGTCGGCACAGGCAGAGCAGGGGCAGAACACAAGTTCCCAAACGTAGGCAAAGACAGGAGCGTCGAGCCCCCTGCCAGGTTTCACTCCATCAGGGCTACTTGGCTCTGAAGTGCCTGTCCGGGCTTCTGCTGCCGTGTTGACGGATGTACAATTCACACCATCGCAAGTCGCACTAGATGATCGTGGAACGAAGGTAAGAGCAATGCGGCCCTGACGTCTGCGACAAGAGCGCAAAGATTGTTCAAGCAGGACGCGGGCACCGAGCACGACACAGGGAGTGCATTTGAGGTCCCCGCCTTCTCAAAAATTTCTCGTCCCAGGAGGCAGATGCTGCCGGGGAGGCTCGAGCTGCGTTTGAAGCTCTTCGTGCCGAGGCCTTGCAGCTTGAGAGGCCTTGGCTGCAAGTTGGGCTGTGTTGGGAGAGTTTGCAGGGAGCGGATCGAGGGCACAAGGGCAAAGTCAAACTCTGAGGAATGGCGTCCGGGAGCCCACGCAGACGGCTTGGGAAACAACTTTGCGGATGGCTGAGGCACTCCGATTAGAATGTGTTGACAAGTGCTCGCAACGAGAGTAACTCGGAGCAGGAAGCCGCGCAACGAGCGAAGTCGTCGTCTCTCCATGACGTTTCTGCTGCGGCGCTGTCGCTGCGGGCGAAAGCATTGCATGTGCTGGGACGAAGTGAGGACGAGAAGTTAGGTCGAGCACAAGCCTTTTTTGGAAGTTCGGTGCTGTGAGGAAGCGGCCAAGACTGTCGGAGAGGCTTCCCAGGCGCTGCAGCTTGCAGGCGTGGGAGCAGATCCCAAGCTGGCTCGGTGACTGGGATCGGAATATCGTTGTTTTGAAGACAAAAACAGATGCCACCCCCTCCTTGACCTACTCGTACCGCCTTTGTGGGTTTTGGACACAAGTCGGCTACCGGTGCGTATGTTTGGGGGTGTTCGCAGGAAGCAGAATCGTGACGCGTGCTGTGTGAATATACGAGAAGAAATCAGAAGAAATACAGATCAGAAAACAAGAGGAATGCAGCATTTCGCCCATTATCATGCGCCCCTCATCATGAACCCTAAGCTGCCTTTCTTGCTTTGAACCAGGAATGCCTTACATATCGTACCAGGTCTTGGCAACTTTCGTTTAACCCATGTTGCCTTTCTTGCTTTGAACCAGGAATGCCTTACACATCGTATCAGGTCTTGGCAACTTTCGTTTGGAAACAGCTAGCGGCTACTGTACATGAGAATTTTCCTTTGAGTTGAATTGAAGTGAATGCTAAGGAAGCCAGGTTTTCGCTTCTATAAACATTATCTTTTTTACGATTGAGAGGCACTCAATCGTTTCTTGCTCAGGACTACAAGAGTGCCATAGAGTGCCTATAATATTGCCAGTGCTCCCAAATACATAACTTCCAATCAACGCTGGGATGTGCTCTGAGATGTTACGTTGTACTAGGATAGGGAATGGATACTAATCATCCAAGTATCGAGCGGGTTTCAAACAAAGGTTTCGGAGTCTAAAGCGGGCCCGGCAGGTTTTTGTGGAAACAGCTGGCAGGGCTAACATTTTGCCGCCTTTTGTGGACTTCAGCAACCTTGAGTCCCAACATGGCACCCCCTTGCCCGGCCTTAGCCGCGGGATGACGGCTTCGGCTCTCCCGGCCTCCGGCCTCGCCTTTGCTTCTTTAGCGTGATCACGCTGACGAAAAACACAGGGCTCCGGCAGAAGGAGTCCCGGGGACGATTCCCGGCGAAGAAATGCAGCTTCTGTGCGCCTGTCTAGCGAGGCCAAACGAAGGCTGTTCCTTTGATCTTGGCCACTTCGCTGCGAATGCATAGTGCCCCTGTAAACTGGGTCCTCAATTTCCACGATTTGCAGACCTGGCCCGGAGGATTTCGTGGAAAGAGAGCGCTCGGGCAATTTTTTGGACGACATTCTCTAAGTGCGCGGAGTCGTGTAGATTTTGGCACAAGTTGGCCCGGCCAACGTTCTGAAGTGTTAAGAAGCAACAACGTTGACCGTGCCAGCTTTTTCCACGGAGACTTCGGGCAAAGTTGGGCACGGACGGGTTTTTTGGAGCAAGCAGGTCCCAAACTATTGGCCTTGCCGCTGCAAGGTTTTTCCTGTTCTTTGCAAGCTTTTTCCTCTGGAGCCTAGGATCGCACAGACGGCGCCATCACGGGCTGCGGTTGAAGTAAAGCTCGGCAGAGAGGAGCTGGAGAAGGAGGGGGTTTTGAGTTTAGGGTTTAGGGTTTGGGGTGCTGCAGTTTGGCGCGATTCTGTTGCTGCCTGTCACCTTCCCCGGCCGACTTCACAAGCCCGGATGCAAAAAAGGGTTTAGGGTTTAGGGTTTAGGGGGTTCTTGGCTTCAGCGGCGGCCGACTCCAGGCGAAGTACGAAGCCTGTTGCAAAAAGGGGGTTCTTGGAGGTCTAGCTGCGACTAGCTGCCTGGCAGGATCCCTCGCTGGTGCTCCTTCCGGTGGATACCAGGGAGACGGAGTTGC